CAGCTAATTTCCATTATTGGTAATATTATGTTAGATATAATATTTAAAATTGTAAATATTATATCTAGAATTGTTTTAAAAAGAACACTTTAAAATATTTGGCACATTTTTCATATTTATATTTTGATGTTAGTTTCTTTACAATTGTTAAAAAAAATTGTAAGTTAAATCACGCCACAGTGTTGTAAGGATAACATTAATTATGATTTTGCGCACATGTAGATAAATGCATATTTTTAAAAATTCTATTTCTCGATTTGTAGATATCTTGCTACTGGATTAAGAAAGAGGAGTGCATGCCAAGCCCAACCGAAGATCAATGGAAAAGTGAGGCAGAAAAATTCACTTCTCTGTGGAATATGCCCAATTGCATTGATGGGAAACACATCAGAATTCAGTGCCCAAAAAAAAGTGGTTCCCAGTACTACAATTACTTGGATTACTTTTCAATCGTACAGGGGTCACATTCCCCCTAAAATTCCTAAAACTATGTACAAACCCTAAAATTCCTAAAAATCTGCTAAAATTTTGTTGGTGTTCCTAAAAAATTTGAGTTATAGGAATAAATCACAGATAAAATGAAAATGCCGCGCCTCTTTCTTTTTGTATCGAATTTGTTTACGTCATCGCTTCTCTGCAAGGAGAGGAGGATGGGAGGAGATGCGGGACGGCGTTTGGGGAAGAAAGACGACGTCCGGCGGTGTGACGACATTCAGGCGAGTGATTGGTTTTTTTTATCACGTGGTTATTTTCACTCCTAAGACGTCACGGGCCTCTCCTCTCCTCCCTCTCCACCTGTCTCTCTTTTTGTTCAGCGTGGTTCTGAAATCCTTCGCCATCTTGGTTGATTTGTTATTTATAAATTGATGCTATGGGAAAAGGACGAACAAAATTCCAGACGGATTGGTTTGAAAAAGAACTAGATGGTGTTTTGCTTAAAGAATGGTTGGAATCTGTGACTGGAAATGACTATTCCGCGAAATGTAGTTTATGCTGTGAAACATTCGAAGTATCTGGAAGTTGATTCGCACAAGTACGATCGCATCATAAAGGGAAAAAACATCATCAGAAATTTGATGAAAGATTTAAAGGAAATGGTCAATCAACAATATTCAATTGGGTGCAAAATAAAAGCAGTGATACAGCTGTTCTTATCTAGCAAAATCAAATTTTGAAAGCTGAAACTTTATGGTGTTTACATGTGGCTGAAAAAAATATTTCTTTTAAATCTTGTACGGATACAAACGTATTTGTGATAATTTAAAAGAGCCAACAAATATAGGATGCTTCATTCTTATTAGATATTTAAAGTGTTCTATTTGTACCAGGGATGAGAATTTTCCTCTTAATGCCTTTCTATATTGTTTCTGCTAGCATTTCTTTATTTTCGGATCGTCAGAGTTGTAAAATTCGATTGTGGCGCAATCTAATGGACAAAACTTATCCGACTTTCTTTTTTGGTCGGGAAAAAATTTCGGCACATGAAATTAAATATGTATTGAAAGATAATACTTAGAAAATAGACAATCAATAAAAATCTCGAAAAAAAGAAATTTAGATGATTTTAATTCAGATGGTCAAAAAATAGAAGGCCAATTTCTTGGTTCTTGAGGAATGAATTAACAGTTTGATTGTTTGTGATCTTAATACACTCAGATTTTTCTTCCTATTTTTCATTCATTCATTTTGGATATTGAGAAATTTAAGTTGAACTGTATAAGTTTAAATCAGTCTTTAGTTTTGTTAGGGGAGGGCAGCTTTTTTGGCATGGGAAATGGTTGGATAGCAATTCCTTTGGTAGGAAGAATAGTGCAGAGTTGTGTTACAGTGATAAAAAAAAGAATTAATTGGGGGGGGGGGTTAAAGTAAAACTTATTTAGCCGTGATTTTATTTCTTTTAATATTTTCCCTGTATAAAATGTTGTATAATTTTTTGTTCACGCACCAATTTCAGTATTTTTACTTTTTGCAATTCTCATCCCTGGTAAATGAAATATTTATTTCGTGCATATTTTTTTCGGTTTACACTTCTAACATTGTAGAAGACATTTTATTATTTGTGATTATAAGATTAATATTTTAATTATGAAAATATATTTTTTAATGGGTTACGCTGACTGTCTTAAGAAATTTTAACTTGTACCCATAAGTGGTACTCATATTTTGAACTTTTAATCATGAAAAATAGTATTTTTTTTAATGTAATATATTTATTATATGTATAGATTTTGTCCTGTTTTTTTTTTTAATTTAAATACTTGCCACTAATAAAATAAAATAGGTAATTGTATATTATAGCAATAGGATAACATCATTTTCTTTGGATTGTGAAATTATCGTTCTGTGGATTAACTTAAGTGACCCCAGGGTGTACCGTTTTTTATTGGGTCTTTTGGGGTTTTTTTATTAGCCTTGTGCTTTTAATTTCTAATTGTTTGTAGCTAATTTTTTAAAAAAAAAATTCTTTTATCTTATTTTTATTCTATTATCATATTTAAGTCGGTTCACCCGTGAACATAGGTTTTAACCCTCTCGCTGCGTAACTTTTTTTTGTTGAAATTTAAAACATTTAATTTTAGTATTTAATTAGATTGTAATGCTTCACATTTTAGGAATGAAGCATCAGCAACTGCTCAAAGCCATCGCCCCATAGCGTTAACCAGCTGTCTTGGGAAAATATCTGAACGGATGGTCAACTCTCGCTTGGTATACTACCTCGAAAAAAATCATCTTATACCAGACTTCCAAAGTGGTTTTCGAAAGGAAAGATTCACGATTGATAATATTGTTGCTCTACAGTCTCGAATTCGCAATGCTTTTGTCCGACGTAATCATTTTGTCTCTATCTTCTTTGATATCGAGAAGGCTTACGATCGGACATGGCGTTACGGAATTTTGAAGACANACCTCGAAAAAAATCATCTTTTGTCCGACGTAATCATTTTGTCTCTATCTTCTTTGATATCGAGAAGGCTTACGATCGGACATGGCGTTACGGAATTTTGAAGACACTTTACAGCATGGGACTTCGTGGAAACCTACCCATCTTTCTGAAAAACTTTCTGTCGAAGCTGTATTTTCGAATAAAACAGGGCACTACATTTTCTGATCTATTCATTCAGGCAGAAGGAGTTCCACAAGGCAGTGTTTTAAGTGTCATACTATTCATTATTCATGTTTCACAAATCTTGAACTTGCTTCCACCTTCCGTATTTGGTTCACTGTATGTTGACGATCTGAACGTATCATGTTCTGGATCAGACATGCGCGTTATTGAGCGTCAACTGCAGTTGACTGTGAATAAAATTGTGGAATGGTGTGAGCATAATGGTCATAGCCTGTCACCTGTCAAAAGCTCTTGCATACATTTTTGTAGATTACGCAGAATGCATTTTGATCCCATTATATCGATTCGTAACATTACCATACCTGTTGTATCTGAAACAAAGTTCTTAGGTGTTATATTTGATCATAAACTCACTTTTTTGCCTCATATTTTACATCTAAGAAAGCGGTGTGAGAAAACCTTGAATGTGTTACGCGTACCATACCCTCCAACTGCTACGGATTTTCCGTAGTTTCAGAAATCTTCTTTTCTGACGGTAGCAAAANGTGCGGATCGTATCGCCCTACTCAGACTGTACAAAGCGTTAATACTATCACGTATAGATTACGCTTGTGCAGTCTATGGCACTGTTACTGCTTCCATCTTAAGACGTTTGGATACAGTGCATCATACGGCTTTACGTATATGTAGTGGCGCATTCCGCACCTCACCAGTAGAGAGTTTATATGTCATTTGTCACCAATCATCTCTCGATTTACGTCGCATGCAATTGTCTGTAACCTATTACAATCGAGTGAAATCCTGCAAATCTCACCCTCTAAAACACGATGTCTTTCCATCAAGCTTAGGACGATTGTATGACGCTAAACCATCATATGTCCGTCCATTTCATGCTCGTGTGCGCTCTCATATGAACTTTTGACATGTGCGACGTGCCAACACAATCAATAGATCACCTTCTCATACCACCATGGATCATCGCACCACATCAGTTTTATTCCCTTTCTAAATTGTACAGTAAATCTGATGTTGCATCCATCATTTATCAACAAATATTCAATTCTCATCGTCACCAATATTTTGAGTATGTGCCTGTATATACTGACGGATCAAAATCGGTGGAATACGTAGGCTGTGGTGTCATCATCGCTGATGATACTTATAGCTACAAGATCCATGATATTTGTTCCGTCTTCACTGCGGAAGCTGTTACCATCCTTTTGGCATTGCGGCTGATTTCTTCACGCTCCGAACGAAAGTATTTTATATACTCCGATAGTAAGAGCGTTTTGAACAAGTTAGAAAATTTTCGCAGCGATACTCATCCAATCCTATGCTTCATTAATCATTTATTAATCTCTCTTCACAAGAAGGGATTTGATATTTCATTTTGCTGGATACCGAGTCACGTCGGTATCCCAGGGAATGAGTTAGCGGATTCTGCAGCACGATCTGCAACTACTGAACTTACAATATCTGTACCATTCTCAGACATTAAACTACATGTTCGACAGCTCATTCCGTCCCTTTGGCAAAAGCATTGGGATCTTCAAACTCAAAATAAACTTCATAACATTAAACCATATATAGACCCCTTACCTGTATTACGTTTACGTAATGCAGATGTAAAGTTTAATCGTCTCAGAATCGGCCATACTCGACTCACACATCTTCATCTGTTGTTTGGAGAATCTCCTCCCAAATGCGACTCTTGCAATACTTTACTTACGGTTCATCACATTTTAACCATTTGTCCTTGTTTTAACCAGCATCGTCTTACCTTTTTTAATAGCACGATTTTATGTATGAAGGATTTGTTAGATGATATTCATCATCCTAACATTTTCGCATTTCTGCGAGCTATTGGTATTTTATATTGTATAAAACTGTTTTATCTGATTTTATTCACTCTTATTTCCTACCCATGAACCGTTTTACCTTTTCTGTGTATTTTATAGAATTACGCTTTTTATTGGTTTTTATGAACTTTTGAAAATTTTTGTCTTGAGATAAACTACTTTATTAGTTTCATTTATTTTATGACAATGAAACTATTGTGTTTCACCATTAGATCTAACCCAACAAACTGTTTGGCGCAGCATATCATCCTTTGGATCTTGTGCCATAAAACTTTTACATTCAATCTAATCCAATCCTGCTCAATGCCAAGAAGACCAAAGAAATTTCAATGAATGAGTTTAGGAAGGTTGGTCCCTCCACTAAATCCTTAAATTCTATTGCCTCCAGCTCTTTAGAAGATTCTTGGGATTTGGGGATAGAAGTTCGTTCGTCTGAGATTTTATGGGCTTTGAAAGTTATAGAAAGCCACTTCTCCAACAAACAATTCTTCCAAAGACACTGGAAAATTATTCAGTGCAATGTTTCCAGACAGTTCAATAACACGTCAATTCGCCTGCAATGAATCTAAGTGAGTATATCTCTGTCGTTTTGGACTTGCACCTCATTTTAGCATGCTACCTCTGAAGTGCATTGATAATGCCAAGTTTTATACATTGCTTTTTTGATGAGTCTTTGAACAAAGCGACGCAGCAGAAGCAGTTGGATTTACATATCCGCTTTTGGAACCCAGATAAGAACATTGTAGAGACGTAATACTTAACATCAGCTTTTCTGGGCCATTCTACATCAGATGACCTTTTAGCCTGCTTTTATGCGTGTCAAAAATTTAGACCTGAAGAAATTATTGCTGATTTCCATGGACGGTCCGGTTCTGGTGGCAGTTTCACTCCTGCTGCTGAGTTGAGTTGTTTAACTCCTGCTTTAGTTTTGGTTTCGGTTTCCAAAATTTTTAACTTGCTGAATCTTCTGAATTTGAAGAAAAAGATAGCGGCTGGTCAAAAATCATGTACTTAGATAAAAGTCAATAAATATAATTCGTTAAACGGATCAACATTTATTGAACTACCAGATTTTATTCAAAGGAAAAAGGCCGTAATTAATATTAAAAATAACGATAATAAATGTTTTATGTATGCAGTCCTTGCCGCCTTATACCGACAGACCAATAATGCGTAGACAGTGGAAAAACTTGCAACTTTTGTTGATGATTTTGACTTTTCCTGCCTTGAGTTTCCAATGAAACTACAAGATATTTCCAAATTTGAAAAGAAAAATAATATTTCGATAAATGTATATGGTTTCAATGATAAGAATGTGATTTATCCTCTGCACATTACAGAAAACGAAAGGCAAGTTCACGTTGATTTGTTATATATAACTCCTACATCGACTTCTCACTACTGTTTGATTAAAGATCTATCGCGACTCATTTGTTCTCAAATATCTAGGCACAATGGAAAAACTTTCATTTGTAAAAGATGCTTACAACATTTCACGACCAAAGAAATCCTTCTCAAACATAAGAGACTGTAACCACGAAGCTGTGAGAGTGGAAATGCCACAGAATCCTTGATTTGAAAATGTTCAACGTACCCCTACGTCGTTTTCGCGGAATTTGAAACGCTAACCCGACTGCTTGCGTCCTTCGAACCTAATTCAATTGATTCATACATACTTCAATACCAAAAACATGAAGCGTACAGTTTTTGCTACTTCGTCAGTTGTTGGGATGGTTCAAAAACAGAACCAGTCATCTATAGAGGACCTGGTGCTGATAAAAAAAAATTTCCAAGCTATCGTCGGAGAAGCCGAATTGATTCAAAGGATGTACAAAAATCCAAAACCGATGGCACCTTTAACTCATGATGAGCTGATTACCTTTGCAAGTGCAACGACTTGTTACATGTGCGGAAAAGAATTTACCAGCACTAATTATAAGGTAAGTCATTTTATTTCTTTTGAACTTTTTTTTATGTGCATTTTGTAAAATTTTACTTTATTTAGAACAAAAACTCACAATGAAATGTGAATTTATTCCTTTTATCATGCTTAAAGTAACAATGTTTATTTTGATTGATGAAAAGCCTCCACTCTCTTTCGGTATATTAAAAGAAACTGCTAGTTTCCTAATTATATATTAAAAGAAACAAGTGTTTCTATTTATAATTTTAAAATATATCTCTTATTCAAAAAAAAAAAAAAATGTTATATTTTTATTAGAGTTGTTTTTATGAAGAAAAAAAAATGTTTTCAATCCAAACCTTAAAATATGTAGAATTAGATTAAATTAGCAAAGTACCATATTTTTATTTTGTGTCTCAAAAAAGGACAAAATGTGAAAGGTTATTTAGTTAAATTGAATTATTTTTTTTCTTATTTTTTATAGGTTAGAGATCACTCTCACACTAGCTCTAAATATCATGGAGCTGCATGCAATAGCTGTAATCTAAAGACCAAAGTTCCTAATTTTCTCCCCGTATTTTTCCACAACTTGTCAGGCTTTGATAGCCATATATTTATTAGAGAATTGGGGAATGATGTGCGGGACATTGATGTGATTCCTCAAACTAGCGAGAAATATATTTCCTTCTCCAAAAAAATAAAAGACGGTTTTAATATTAAGTTTTTGGACTCTCTCAGGTTCATGCCGAGTAGTTTTGAAAATTTAGCTAAAAACCTGCACCAGGACGAATTTTTAAATATTAATTGAAATTTCAAATCTACCCAAGTCCCTTTATTACTTAGGAGAGGTGTTTTTCCCTATGACTATGTAAATAGTTTTGAAAAATTGGACGAAACATCTCTCCCCCCAAAACAATGTTTTTACAACCGGTTAAACGAAGAAGATATTTGGGATATATTAACTTGAAAACTCTTGGAGAGTATTCTGATTTATGCATTAAAACTGACGTACTTCTTTCAGATATTTTCACTAATTTTAGAAAAGTTTGTCAAGAAACATACCACCTTGACCCTGCATGGTATTTTACTTCCCCAGGTCTTTCGTGGTGAGATGACGGGGGTGGAAATTCAGCTTTTAACTGATTATGAAATGCTTATGTTTGTAGAAAAGGGAATTCATGGGGGAATATCACAGTGTTTTCATCGTTATGGCCAAGCTAATAGCTACTCAGTGTGTTGTACACTTTTGTATTTTAATTTATTTTAAGTTAATCACTCAGTTTTGCGACTGTACCTTTTTCCGGAAAATAAATCTTTTATTTTTATCCTCTGATTTTAATCATGTTGTCTTTGGTTCCCTCAAATGTGAGAACGTTATACTAGTTCTTACAGTATCTTCTCACCTCGTTGACCATGAACTGAAAGCGAAATTTTTGTGTCGTTACCAAAAAGTGACTCAAAATGGTATTGTCAGAGAGGTGAAAAATTTCTGAACAAAAAATGCAGTCATTACATCTTTCACCGATATCCCCGAAGTATATGGTGCAAAGGTGAATAAAGTCCTGGCAGAAGCTGATGATTTTGAAGGGAAAGAATCCGGATGGGTCCTTGAGGAAATCATCAATTGGAGGCTGAAGATATTCGCCGAATCTACAATCATCCTCTGCCTATTGACCCATTGACAGAAGAGCAACAGCGAGTTTTTGATACTGTTACAAATTGCTATATGTGTAAAGATAAGTTCTCCACGAAACATTAAACGGTAAGTGTTTTTTTATTCACATTAATTCTTAAAATATTACATTAAATATTATCGTATATTTTATTATTTTTTAATATCATTTTCCTAAGGAAAAACAATTTTTTCCAAAATTTGATTAAAATAAATGTTTAGCATCATTTGTTTTTAAATGTATATTTCTTACAAAAATTTTTATCTTAATATCAAAGAGTTATATTAACTGTGTAAATCAATTATTTTAAAATGTTATTTCTTTTTTTATGCACTTCGTTTGAAAACATTTTTACTGAGTTTTAAAATATCGTAACATGAAAGTGCTATATTTAGTTTTTAAAATATTATGTTAACTTAAAAATTATCTAATGAAAAAATTAACTTAGTAAATTGTTTATTTGATTAAATAAAAATTCACAATTTATAAGCATTTTCTTTAAACATTTCAGTGATTTTTCCTGAATTGAGCTTCTAAGTTTCGATTACTCATTCTAAATATTTTATATCCCATTTACAATAAAAGTTTTTACTCTTAAACGTGGAATTTAAAGACTAACAAAAATTAACATGTAATTTTAACTCATATGGGAAAAACCTTTTACTTATTTATAAAACTGCTAGTTATTTATTTTTCTAAAGTTGTTTATTCTCTTTTTAGGTGAGGGACCACGATTATCAAACCAAGAAACTCAGTGGTATTTCCTGCAACACGTGCAACTTGAAGGCAAGGACACCTAACTTTTTCCCGGTAATCTTACACAACTTGTCCGGGTACGACAGTCATCTCTTCATTAAGGAATTAGGTGGAGATGATGGGAATATTACTGTCATACCAGAGAACACAGAGAAGTACATCTCCTTTTCGAAGCAAGTTGGAAAGAGGCTGAGTCTCCGATTCCTGGACTCCTTCCGATTCATGGCCAGCAGCGTGGACAAACTCGCTCAGAACTTATCGGAAGACCAGTTCAGACTCATCCGGAGATATTTTCAACCGTCTCAAGTGCCTCTACTGCTGCGAAAGGGGCTGTACCCCTATGACTACATCTGACATCCGGACAAGTTCAACGAGACTTCCTTGCCTCCTCAAGATGCCTTTCTATAATCGCCTGAATGAGGTCGGCATTACTACGCCTGACTACGAGCATGCTCAAAGAGTGTGGAATGTTTTTGAGCTGAACACTCTCGTAGAGTATGCTGACTTGTACGTTAAGTCGGATGTGTTGCTGCTTGCCGATATCTTTGAAAATTTCAGAGATGTCTGCATAAAGACTTATGAGCTGGATCCCGCTTGGTATTACACGGCACCAGGACTGTCATGGGACAGTATGCTAAAGAAGACTGAAGTCCAACTGGAGCTGTTAGTGGATTATGACATGTTATTCTTTGTAGAGAATGGAATCCGTGGTGCGATCTCTCAGTGCTCTCACCGACACGCGAGAGCCAACAATCCTTATAAAATGCCCTACCATAAGATTATTTGTATCTAGAAGCCAATAACTTGTATGGTTGAGCCCAATCTCAGAACATTCCTCTTAAGTATTTTCATTGTATACATCCTGGAAGTTGACGGGTAACATTCCCTTCTCAGCCTCCGTGCGAGTAGGAGACATGTTATTACGGGAAATTTGGAGATTGTGGGTGATCAAGATTTAATCAGCATTTTAAGTAAAGGTTCAAAATTTAGGACCAGAGTTAAAATGAAAAAAGAAGATTTGATTTTATCTATTGAAAAGGATCTTGATTTTTTTATTGCAAAAATTTCCAGAAAAAATCATTGGCCCGTTGAAGATTTTTCTGAGTGGAAAGTTAAAATTATTGAAAGGGTTAAATATAATTTATTTAATACCAGTTTTAGTTCATTTCCTAACGGTACTTATATAAATTACGATTTATCTAGGAAAATTAAAAATCTTAAGGATAAATTTATTGTTACTGTTGTAGATAAAGCTTCAAATAATTTCTGTATTATGTATAAATATTTTTTTAAAAAATTGATTATTGGAGTATATAATGCAAATAATACTTATTTAAAATTAAAAGATAAAAAAGTTATTGAAAAAAGAATTATTGCATTTAGTAAAAAATTAAATTTTAGGTTAAATATCATTACATTTCCATATTTATTTCCAATTGTTAAATTTCATAAAAATCTGATTAAATTTAGGTTTATATCGTGTGGTACTAATAGTTATAATTCTGATATTAGTAAAAAGTTCTTTAGTTTTCAAAAAATTATTTTGTTTAAAATTAAAAAAGAGAAAAATATTGTTATAAATAGTAATGTTGAAGTTTTGGATAATATTAATAGTAATGACATTTCCAGCATTAATACTTTTGATTTCGAAAATTTGTATACAAGTACACTACATGGAAAGATTATTGAGATTTGTGAAGGCATTTATGATAGGTATTTATTTAATGAGAAAAGTGATAAGTTTATTTGGTTGGATTTATGTAAATTTAATCTTTTTGAGAATGCTCTTTTTAATGGTTTAGATTTTTATAAACAAATTATTGGAATTCCACAACGTAATTCCTTTTCTGGGGCTTTTGCTAATATTTTTTTTAAAATTCTTTTTAAGCTAAATTTCTGGAGCATAATGAATTTAAAGCATTTAGATATATTGATGATTTGATTTTGTTTAATTGTGATAATTATAATTTTATTTATAGTATTTATCCTGGAGATTTGGTCTTGAAGAAAACTAATGAAGATTGTTTTAATGTTGAATATTTAGATTTTAAAATTGATATTGTTAACAGCTTTATTAAAATTGGTGTCTTTGATAAAAGAAAAGCTTTTAAATTTAAAGTTATTTTTTTCTGCAACTTTAATACTAATTTGTGTAATAAAATATTTAAAAATTTAGTTTTTTCACAATTGGTTAGGATCAAAAATATTTGCAATAATGTTGAAAGTTTTCGGGAAGCTGTGAATAATTTTTTAAATAATTTGAGTAATAATGATT